AGGAAGAGCAAAATAGGAGGTCCAGCTGCTTTCCTATCCAAGTACTGGATGTACGGAAGATAGAAGGAAAAATCAAAAAAAAGCATGACCAAAAAAAAAACGCTCGAACAGGAAACGCGTGCAGCAGATGCGTATGTTGAGGAGGATAGGCATACACATGGCAGATGTACATGCAATACAGAAAACGCATACAGAGGACTGCAATGCATATGATCACAGGGTAGCAAGATGACACAAGAAATGCGCCAAAATTAATTATACAGCACAAAATTAAAGCAAATTAAAGCTTTGGAATACGCTTTTGAAAATAATGAGAGCACGTAACAATTATTGCAATGGCAAACGAACAATCCCCATATGTAAAGCGAGAATTGCAAGAAAGCACCGGGATACAAAAGAATACAAATGAAAAAGGCAAGCCTCAATGTCCGCACTGCACTGGGAGCGGGTGGATGACCAACTGCCCTTACACTAAAGACCCAGTGAAGCACCAACCGCAAACAATCAATCTCAAATTTCTATTTGAAATACCAAATGTCAAAGTTCTACAACACGTAACTCGAGCTTAAAGTGGACCAAGAGGAAAGCATTTTTGACTTTTCCATGGCATTTCCTGGTGGGTATTTAACTTGTCAGGCAGAACATAGCCAGTGCATTTCCTGAGTTATTTTTCTTAACTCACTGTAGGAAATGCACAACGCTTAGCTGGAAAATGCTCAGACGAGCTGCACAATCAGTGAACTGCGACACTGCGCATAGAAAAAAATCACAAAAATTGTAAGCTGCTTATAATTCTGTACGAAATTCTATACTGCTAGACGCAACTACTGTAAAGTTTCAAAAGTTATCCCTGAAGGAATTCAGGAGGAGTTAAATTTAGCAGACAATGACGAATTTAATAAGCCAATAACAAGAAACATTCGGTATGCAGATATGTGCAGCATCACTGCCCTAAGAGGATCAGGAAAAGCTTGCCCGACCGAAACAGCTCCAAACAATGCTAAATACGTGCGGGACTAAGCAGTAACAAATGTCTGAAACAATAAGAACAGAAATTAGAATCACATGTGTACAACCTGTATTTCGACAAAGATAAGTCCGTCAACAATCAACAAATAAAAATCGCAATTCCATAGCTCACCAAAATTAAGTTTCTAATCAGATTTATTTAAATACTAGTCTGCAATCAGTAAATTCTGATGACACCCAGAAAATCCTGTAACAAGCAGAAACGTGAGTTACACGTGAAAAGGCTACTGACAGTTCTCATTTTCAGAAGGTGGTTGTTCGGTAGCAATCTGGATGCAGCTCAATTTTCAAGCATGCTAATCAGAGTCAAAATACACAGTTGAAAAACTTTTTTAACGCCGAACCTGAAATTTAGCCGTTTCGGTTGAGGGAGATATGGCGTCACAGATTACTACGTTACCGTGTCAACAAGTAAACCATGACGGTTCTGTGCCAAAATAAGTGAAACCGCTCAAAATGCTGGAGGTTTTTCGAATGTCCACCGCTGTCGTTCATCAGTAGCATCGCATGGCATCAGTGCTAACGAGATTCTTGAATCATTAGATTCGTCCGGCAACAGTGCCACACACTGGCCATTTTTCAGCAATCTCCCATTTCCTTCATCCAGTTGCCATCTTCCCTTCACCTACAATGAAACGTAAATTTGCGGGGCTTTTTAGACATCTAGGAGAATACACCAAATTGAAATAGCTTTTTTTCTCGAGAAAAAAGATATTTTCTGCACAAGGCACAGCATAAAATCCCTCATACTGCAGGAGGGAGTTCGTATGGAAACATATTTTCGAGTCGCACCCATTGATAAAGTTATCAGCGTTGATTTTTGACTAAATTGCTGCGATGTCAGATGAAGGCAACGTCTACGATGGCCGCTGCATAATAGAATTATTGGTTTTTTTGCAAGTTAAAATTTGCCAAGCTAACCTATTGCTCCTCAGGGAATTTACTCAAAATTAGCTCAGCATATCGACGTTACAGCATAACAAACCTGGATTATCGTAAGCTTTCTGCCTTCAAATAAAGGAAGGGCTGACTGAACAATTAGGTGGTTGAAATTACCTTGAGTAGGAAAACTACTTTAAAAAAAAAAAAAATGGATGGTCAGGACAATAATAATCCCGCTATTATGCCCAGGATTTTACATTGATCAAGGCCAACAGTCTTGATGTGATAAATGTAGCACTACTTATTCCTGTAGCGATGCTAAGCACGCGCCTCAGATTAAGCTAGTTTTACGGCAGTCACTTACCACATTACAGTTTTGTAATATCAGTGTTCCTTTTTCATCATCCGTCAAGCACAGTTTTGAATATGGACTTTTCAAATGACCGCGTTGGGTATTTAAGACCCACTCCTGAAAAAGCACATTCCTTTCTTGTTGACTGCAAAACTGCACCTATTATTGCCATGTCCTCACATTTTTTTTTCACGCTCTCTTCTGCGATAAATTTTGAAGTTTAAACAGAAATTTTTCCTCTCCAGCACTCATAGCCAGGTTCTGTACTTAAACAACTAATTGTGAGCTCACTACACATTCAAATTTTTCATCTAACAATGTACCTGATTTCCTCCTGTACCATGGCAGCCATAAACGCCGACAGGAGACAACGGTGTTTGT